CATTTTTATATACTTACAGTTATGCAGGTTCACTATTTTGTCAAAGCAAAAGTGAAGGCTAGAGATTAGGCAGGAAAAGCTGTTAGAGAAGTATAGTGGTGGTGGTTTGATGGTATTTATAAATAGAACCAACTTGCTTCTATTTATGTTTAACATCATTGACCGCATCCAAAAGGACCAAAACTGGATTTTTTCCGGTTTTACCCTTTAGGTCTTACGCAGAAAAAAATGTGCTACCCCTAAATATTTTTTCTGGTTCCGCCACTGCGTAAACCTATATGTCTTCGAACTGATAACCTTTTCTTGACTTGATCTCTACTCCATCCTAGGAACACATGCGATTTTTGAAAATGTCAACTTGATATTTGTGAGTTCACATGTTTTGAGGTAAATGTACAATAAATTCTTTTGAAAACTTTCTAGAAATTTTATAATTTTTAAGTTTCTGATTTTCTATGTTTTATTATATCACCTCTTGAATTATTATCTTTTTAGGACATTCTACTAATCCTAATTTACTATCTTTGTGGAATATCTAATGATCTTATCTTATTAATATTTAGGATATTTTATTAATCCTAAATTACTATCTTGGTAGTATATCTAACGATTATATCTTGTTATCTTTTAAGATATTTTATTAATCCTAATTTACTATCATTGTATGATATCTAACGATCCTATTTTATTATCTTTTAGGATATTTTATTAATCATAAAGTATTATCTTTGTAGGATATCTAACGATCCTATCTTATTATCTTTTAGGATATTTTATTAATCCTAAATTACTATCTTTGTAGGATATCTAACTATTCTAACGTATTATCCTTTAAGATATTTTATTCATCCAAAATTATTATCTTTATAGGATATCTAAACGATCATATCTTATTATCTTTTAAGATATTTTATCTTTTATCTTTTATGTTTTATCTTTCCTAGCGATTTTCTATAATTATCATAATATAAACCCCTTTAATTTTATATTTGATAATTATATCTATTAAATCTCATAATTATTTTGTAAGTATATGTATATATTTTATTTTGCGATGCATATATATACCCTTATTATGCTTAATTTGATAACTAGATATTTGGACAGAGTAACGATTCGGTACAATGCATATCCCTATATTTGACCAGCATCACTTCTAGGTACGAAGTTATCCTAGGGATTTGTCCATTATAACATCTAGGTATTACCTCTTCTTAAACAATCGGGCATCATAACTCTTAGGTATAATATCATAGCTTACAACTAGACATAGTATCTATAGGTACATTATCCTAAGGCTTTAAGCTTTATAAAACGATTGATATTTATGGATATAACTATATTTTGATAAAGCAATTTGATAAGCATGTATTACCCCCCCCCCCCCCCCCCCGGAAAACATTTAAAATAGTGAAATTGGGGCCGTGAACTCACTCTAGTAGCATATTCTGAAGCATCCAAGCTATTGCATACGAAGCTTCACATCATTGGGAGTACTTCCGAAAAAGGCTTGAGAGATAAAGAGAGAGTTTTCGGTATGAGAAAATCTGAAAGTGGGCACTTCTATTTATAGTGGTTGTGCGCGCAGCGCACTTCATGCTCGACGTGCACTCGCTTTGTGGCTCCATCGGAGTTTGCTACGAGTCACGCTTCTAATGGTTCACGTCTCCCTAATCTTAACGAATCTAGGTGTCAAGTGTGCGCGTTGAGCATGGCGCGCACTTAGCGTGCACCTCTAAATCTTTTATAAAAAAAATCATATCTTCCTTATATGAATCTTGTTCTTACTCTCTTTATATATTTGTGTAGCTCTCTACTAGTACTATAACTTTCCTTAAAGCTGCGTTGCCAAATTTTAACTTTCATTTTTAACCCGTATTTTATATTTTTCTAAAAATCATATCTCCTTCATACGAACTTTGTTTTTGATTGAACCCATAGTATGTTGTTTGTGATTATGTGTATATTGTTGTGTGTAGGGGTATTTTGGGGGAACTCACTAAGTTTCGGGCTTACAGTTTTGGATTTTGTTTCAGGTACTTCAGATGATCGCGGGAAGACGAATGCGTGATCGTGCACCTCCTCTCATTTTTATGATCTTGATTTTTGGGATACTCTGATGTCTAAACTATTTTGAAAACACTTTTTGAATAACTTAATGGTTTTGAATGGTTGAAAAAGTTTTAAATTGGCTTTTTTATGGGTGTTACATTTTCTATTAAATAAAATGAATTAAACGGAATTAATGTCATTTTGTTCATATGGTTAAGTATTAGCTAACAAACATTTTTTTTTGCGTTGAAAGGTTTTGTCTTATTGAGGAATATATTCAGAAATTGATAAAAATAAATAATATTTTAAAATTAAATATCAAAATTGAAGACCGATCACTGTTGCAAGGGGATACCCAAAACAGCGTAGCGATCGCATCAGAGGCCTCAGACGATGTTTGAACCCGCCGGAGAGGACCCACCGTGATCGCCAAAGGGAAGGGTTTTTTACCGGGAGAAGAGATTTTTGCAGATTAAAAAAATAATAATTGTATTTTAGGTAGAAAGATTTATTTTTAGTATTTATTTAAAACTAAATAATCAATTTAAAATTATTGTTAGAAAAAAATTGAAAAGTTATAAAAATTGAAAAGTTAAAAAATTTTCAAATTAAAGGAAGTATGGACTTCGGTCTTGATAATAGATATATAGATACAAATAAGTAACGAGTATTCGTTCAAGGTTTTGCTCAACAGTAAACACACATTTTCATCTTTGAAGATGTGAATTCGGTTCCTCTGGGGAAGATATTTTTTTTTTTTTAATTTGATGACATGTCAAACTGAATCAACATGTCATGCTAGCCAAATCGATACATCTGACATAGTTGTAAAATAAAAACGGCCATATGTTAAGAAATAAAACGAATCTTATAAAATTAATGTCAAATAGAAAGTAAAAAATAAAAATTCAAAACTCTAATAAAATTGTGGGTTTTATAACCTTAAAGCCCAATATAAATATACATAGAGAAGGAGGTAACGACTTATATCACTCATGGTTTTTGTTCGGTTTTTTATGTTTTTATATGTTTGGTACAAATTTTGTAAAAGACCTCTTTGATAAACTGCACAAATGGTCCATGTGGTTTACTCAAAATTGTCACTTTGGTCCAAAAAGATTTGAACTAGCACCAAAGGTCCAAAATTTTCATTTTGTTGCGGGTTTGGTCCAATTTGTTTTGAACTTTTTTATAATGACGGATTTGCCCTTGCTTTTTCAGTTTTTTATATATTTAAATGTTTTTATAATTAAAAGAAAATAAAAAAATCGCTCTCGATCCTCGCTCTCTCTCTCTCTCTCTCTCTCTCTATCTCTCTCTCTCTCTCTCTCTCTCTCTCTCTCTCTCTCTCTCTCTCTCTCTCTCTCTCTCTCTCTCCTGTACAAAGCTAACCCAACTCATATTCTCCAAGCAAACCATAAAAAATGATGATAAAAAATCGATGAAACCAACAACATTCATCGTTAATGCAGATGTCTTCCCAACAAGCAAGAACACAACAAGATTCGAGCACTACAAATTTAGAAGACAGACCCTATTTTTGGTTTCTTTTGGAGTATAAAAAGGCACAGAAGACAGAAGCCCTTGGGGTTTACATTTTCTTGGGGGATCCACTATTCATCATCTTCTTTGTGAACCACATTCAATCCAAAAACAATGAGAGGTCTGTGAATTTTTTTTGAAAAACACATCCCCTTCTTCATCCACCTTCAGATTTTCTACCCCAATCTCTCCGTTTCTGATTTGCAGGTGTCATTAAAGTTTGAACAAGAATACCCATAAAACCCAAACAAAAAATAACTTAAAGCTTGAACGATGCTCAAGAACAGGGGAAGAAATCAGCATCGATAATTGAAATCATAAATCCTAAATGGAATAATCAAGAAAAACAAGAACTCATGAAGACCCAATTCACAGGTCTAAAATCCAAGATCAAATGATTAAGAAACAGAAGAATACATAAACATCCACTTCAAAAATCCCCAATCGATCGATCAAGCAAGAAACAAGAAAACCCACAAAAATCCAACCTGAAGATCAAGCACATCGCATCCTCATCTCTCTCATTAGAGAAAGACATCACACATAGATAGATTCCAGTCAAAAACACGAGACCCATTTCCTCCAACCCGATTCTCTATGAACACTCCTGTGATTTGGACACGAGACCCATTTGAGACACCTCTTGCAAAAGGTTCTTGTACACCCCTAGATCAGAATCGATTTCCAGATGAAGATGAAGGATGAACACCCAAGAATCGATTTCCAGAAATTTAGAACACGCACACACACTCTTAAATTGATTTCCAAAAACACAAACACACACGATTTTAGTTTTTGATTCGAATTTAGGAATCTGATTCTTAAGTTACCCTTGAAAAAAAAACTCACAACTGATTTCCATTGAGTTATGATTTAGAAAAAACCAAATGAAAACGAGATTGGAAATATACCCAGATGAGATATTTTCTTTAGAGAGAGAGAGAGAGAGAGAGAGAGAGAGAGATTTGGCTTTTTTTAATTTTTTTAATTTTTCTTTTAATCAGAAAAATATTTAAATAAATAAAAAACTAAAAAAAAAAAGCAAAAAGCAAGGGCAACATCGTCTGTATAAAAAGTTCAAAGCAAATCGGACCAAACATGCAAAAAAATGAAAAGTTTGGACCTCTGGTGCTAATCCAAACCTTTTTAGACCAAAGTGGTAATTTTCAGCTAACCACATGAACCAGTTGTGCAGTTTTGTCATGTCAAAATTCAAAAGTCATTCTTTTTCTTGTAGCCCAAGAATGAAAGCGTTGAATTGATCAAGTTTGATTTTTCAACCCGACACAAACTGAGTCCGCAAAACACGGTTCAAACTTCAAACCGATAAACCCAAATTCTCCTATAAATATTCTCCCAAGTCCCAACCCCTTCACTGTATCTTCTCTTTGTTTCATTAACTAAAAATGTCGATTGCCACGTCTGCCATTACAGAAGCTTATGTGATGAGAAAGCACTTTCAGGAAAAGATGAAGAAGACGACCACTTTAGATGCACATGATACAACCAAACAAAGCATACTCGAAAAAGAACATCATGATGTTTCAAGCATAAGTTGCTTCCCAAGTTTATTCAAGAAGATTCACCCTGCAACAACTGCAAGTGTCCAGGTTTCTGATTCAAGAAGATAAGATTCATCCAGAAAGCTTCATCAAATGAGCAACACCCATGAAGATTAAATCCCCCATTGTACTAATACTACAATATTTTATTATATTTTTAAAGCCTAAATTCTTGTGATGGTTTATTTGTTTATTGATGTGTATATCATTTGGAAGAAACGTATAGTATTTCTTGATCTCAAGAAAGACATTTTGGAATTTGTTTTGTTATTTTAGTCGATTAGTAACTAATTCGAAGTTACATTTTTAAATATTTTTACATAATATCGGGACAACAATTAAGTATTAACTATAAATTTCATTATGAAAAGTTTAATTATGATATATTACCTATAAAAACCGAAAAAAATACATTAATTGAGATAATCTTGATTTTTTTTAACAACAGTTTCCATTAAGAAGGTATTGGTTACCAGCTTTGCTCATGGCTTTAGTCGATAAATATTATGAAAAATATAAACATAAACATTATGTCATTCTTTAATATATATATATATTATATATATATATATATATATATATATATAATACTAAAACCAACTTATACTTTGAGTAAGCCGATCTAAACGTGGCATCAACAAGCTTATTGTGTGGAAGTATGAAAAATGAAACATCTATTTATATTGGAAAACTCTTCACCACTTTCTACTTAAAGATGATGTGAGACTCTTTCACGCCACCAAATATAATCCATTTTATCGTCTATAGTTTATACCTCTTTTTTTCCTATATTTTTTTGTGACAAAATTGCAAAAATGGTCCTTGTTGTTGGCAAATTTATGTGCTTTTGGTCCGAAACGAAATGTTGGTGAACCACTGGTCCAAAATTGGATTTTTCTATTGTTTTTGGTCCCTATACACTTAAAATGACAGTTACGCCTTTATAATTTATATTTTTTATTTTCTTTAATAGTTGAAATACATAAACTAATTTAATTTATATCTTTTTAACTAAAAACAAATAACCCATTCCCCACTCTTATCTTAAAGAAGCCCTTCATCATCGGCTCCGCCCTCATCACCGATATCTGGAACCACCATCATCAGCCACTATTCTCGTCGGAGTTCACCTAGATCGCAAACCACCACCACCTTCTCCAGAGACCTGGTTGCTAGACTCCCCACCCCACTACCACCACCATTCGCCAGCATTGATACCGTAGGAAACCTTCACACCCCACCGATCTATTCGTACATTGGGGAAGGAGTGATGAACTGGGTCAACAAAGACAACAGGGGAATTTAAACCCAAATTGAATCACCCACCAAACATGGAGCCTTCGGTGATGGGAGATCGATTGTAGAAGATGATAAAAAAAAATTAGGTCAAGACCTCTTCTTTACCCACCACCAGCCGACTGCCACAACCAAACAACCTCCACCAAGCTTCACTAGACTGCCATCACCGCCAAGCTTGGTTTCACCTTGTCTAACTTGGTCCACATCTGCTTCCTTTTGTCTGCCACCACCATTAAATCGAAGACCATCATAGCTTCCCCAACTCCATCTCCAACGACAAGCAATCGATTCAAGTCTTACTCTCAGTCGTTCTCTACTCCACTACGTACCCTACCACTGCAAGCTCATTCCTCTAAAATCTATTGAAACCCCTTGCTTTCTCTCCTCTCGTTCTCTACACCACTACCGACTTTTAATTTTGGTTCCTGAAACAAGATTGGAAACGATTTTCGGATTCGGTTTTAGAGGAGAAGTTGAAATGGGGACTTCAGTTTTTGGATTTGATTTGGGGATTTAAGGTCGTTTGGGGCAGCACCATCTTGAAGGCATATGAGATGGAGGTCTCAGAGATGTAGGAACCGGAAAATGTCCTCCATCATAAAAGGGTGATCCGATGAAGTCATGCCGATGAAACTAGTGTTCCAGAAGGTATCGTGGTGGTGTTGTGGGTTTGATTTTATTTTGGTGGTGGAGGTTCCGGTTGGGAGGATGACATACCGAAAAGAGAGAGAGTGGTGGGTTTATTTTGTGTTTATTTTTCATTTTATTATAAGAATAAGAAAATAAATAAAAGAAATTAAAATATAATTTATTTAAGGGGCATATTAGTTATCATTTTAGGTGGGATGTGGACCAAAAACACAAGAAAATACAACCATAGGGACCAAAACCACACAAGGTATCTAAAATGGGACCAGTGATGCACCAACATTTCGTTTTGGACCAAAAGCACATAAATTTGTCAACCAACATTTTTGCAATATTGTCTTTTTTTGTCAAATATATTAAGGTAAGTCCCAAAAAAAATTGTATATAATTTCTTGTATAAATTTAAATTTTAGGGGGTCATGTGAGATGTGACCAGCCTTAGCTCCGAATTGGCTCGTCCATAGCCACAGATTGAACGTTGGTTAAATTTAGGGGAGAGTTTGGACGAATCAAAAGACATTTTAGGAGAGAAAAAAAGTTAAAACTTTTGAGTTTGATAATGAGATGAATGATCCAACGTACCTGTGCTGTAAATCATGTTTATATGAGATTTCTAGTGAATTTATAAAGAAACTAGTTAGGTGGGAGATGGATGGATGCATAAACAAAATTTTAGTGAGAGTAAGTGTATTCATATATTGGAATGTTAGTTGGGAGTGAATAAATTTATAAATGGTTGTCTCCTTTTCGATTATTTTATCCTTATCAAAATAGTATAAAAAACCAATGGATGTATTTATATAACGACAATTAAATAAAATATTGCTCATAATCAGTTGGAAGGAAAAAGGTTTAAAAAAAATGTTTTTCCAAGATCCAAAATGTCTTGTCCATAATATGTGGTAAATACCAAAAATCTGATTAGAAGGGTAATATATATTTTTATGGTCACTTTTCTATGAATATCCATTTTGAAAAAAAAAATTATAAATTTAACTTTGTATCAATTTATTTGCAATCTTCAAAGAGTTGAATATAAAATCTTAGCATGAAAAATGTAAGAATAGTTTTTTTCCTACCTTTTGGAAATCTCCCTCTCTAATAAAAAAATCCTCTCTGCCACGTGTCCTCCTACAATCCCTTTTCCAATCAAACTGAAATTCCTCTTTTACCCTCTCTTCTTTTCCTTTGCTGCCGCCAATCCCTATCTTTTTTCGTTATTTTCCCTTTTCCACCAATTTCAATTTTCCATTTTGAAAATCAAATCACGCTCAAAATTTCTATACTGATGAAACCTAATCCCAATCTATATTTTTCATTTTTCAAAACCATAATCGCATAAAATCAAGGACAAAATCGCAAGAAATCACACACATATATTCTTCCTCCCTCTACCTCTCTCACAGATGACGTCGTTGGTTGTACTTCACCACTTTTTGGTTAACCCTAATATTGTTTGGTAAGCATTAGTGACATTCCAATGTTATTGGGGTTTTGATTTGATTGTTCAGGATGTTCTTAATCTGGGTTTTGGTTCTACTTTTATTTTTACTAAGATTCGGAGAGAGTTGATGTTATCAATGATTCTGGAATCAATTGCTGACCGATTAGGTATCATCTCTTTACTTCTTCATTGTAATTCATGCATATAGTGATTGAGTTTTTTTGCAATAACTTGGTGCAAGATGTTATAGGGTCCAACTAATCTTTTTTCCATTTTCATTCAATGTCTTCGGTTTTCTTATTTAAGTTTTTAACGTGTTTTTTGTTGTTTATAAGTACCTTAATCAAAATTTTGATCTGTAGGGAACTAATGAAATATTGACAGTCTCTCTTGTCATAAGGTTCTCATTTTCGAAGTTTGCCTTCCAAATTACTTTTTTTTGTAGCTTCTCTTGGGGTAGATTCTCTATATGATTGCAAAAGTCAACTGATTGCTCCTATTATTCAGGGTTCGTGAAAGCGGTCTTCAGCAACAACCACATATAATTGCAAATCAGTGTAAGTTTTGAACAAAATGTATAGAAATTTGTTTTTATTGAATCTTAACACTTTTCCTTGAATTATCAAAAATTTGTTTGTTAAAGTAAGAAAATGCTACAGTTTCTCTCCTTTTCTGATCATTTTTTTTATTTCAATCCCAGTTTTAATTTGATTTTTCATTTGATACGTTGATTGGTGTTGACTGGAATTTTCCAATCGTTATCTACACGAACTATTCAAGGTTACTTTATGTACCAGGTACTCTTCTTTTTCTCTCTGTTTTTTATGGGTTTTTAATTATGCCATTGGTGCTTCTGCACTTGCTTTAGAAAAGCTTTTTAAAAGGCTCATGAAAGTATGCAGATGGAAATGAATAAGTGGGTAGAAAGAAAGGTATTATAGGCTTTTTAAACAAAAATTTTTAGGATATAAGTTAAAGCTAGGTGTGTTCTTATTTTTTCTCTGTTTATTTGAACTTTAATTTCATTTTTTCCGATTTTATGAGATATTGTTCAGATCAATACCTTAATCGAAGTCAAGTTCCATGGAAGTTCTATCATCTTTGTTTTTTTAGTCGGAGTAATATGGACTTATGAGCCATCAGAAGGATATTTTCACCTGACCTTTCCACCATCCAAAAATCCACTCAATTTGAAGGCCCCAAAGTTCTCTAGAAGTGTAAGAATCGAACATAAGAACTGTTGTCATGTGTTTTCGTATTTCCATCCTCAGCAACAATTATCTTCCTTAAACAACTCCTCATCCCCTCATCAAATAGAAAACTTCGACCCCCTCTGCCTTTCTCTCGAAATCAAATATAGCTTACCATAAAACAAGGAGTTTAATTTCTGTCTTTAACCCATGGTTTCTCCTTATTCGGCTGAAGTTTTCGTTGTAATTAAAATCAATGGAAAAATATCGATGGAAACTAACCTATGAAACCTTTTATTTCAGATAAACTTCATTCTTGATCACCAAATCTTGAAGGCAAAATTTTACAGAGACAACAATGGCTCTCACTGTTTGTGCTTTTCAGCCATCATAACGTGTTCTGTCTATTGACAAAGGTAAGCTTATCCCCTACCTTGCTACTTACAGATGTTGGATGTTTGGTGGTCACATTACAAGTAATTTTGAGAATTTGTAGTTCAAAAAAGAGTTGATTCGTTGTTGGATCAACAAGGGGTTCTTTCTAGGTCGGAACAATATGCCTTGTGGTTGCTAACCTTTAGTTTTGCAAATTGGTAGACTCACACTTAGATTTGTTAGTTATAGTTGAATGCCATTAGTAGTGCTTTTTATCTGCAAATGTGGAGTCCTAAATCTAATTGGGATATAGAGCTTCTTTGTATACGATTTTGGAAAAGTGTAAATTACACAGCCTTATTTATTTGATTGTATTTTCGTATAAAAATGAGGTTCTTACGTGAATTTTATATATAATATAACATAGGGAAATGATGATTATGTAAAAAGTTGATGGGCAAAGTAAGGAAAGACAGAAACTTAAAGTGAAATTATAATGATTTCTTTTTAGTTGACATATATTTATTTTTTTTATTAAATGAAAGGTACATTTTGTAGCTATACTTATTGTATCATACTTGATTGGTTATAGATGATCATGATTAACATTTTACTTTTACTAATGTTATATTTGTTGTAGATATATATGTTAACAATCTTTATAAAAATTTATGTTTACAATGTGCTTGAAAATTACATTGTTATTTTAGAATATATATTTAAATTACTTAATACTTAATGTCATATATGTTCTTTGATTTAATCATTTATTCCAAATTCATTGACTTTTAATTATTCAATGTAGTTTCGTAAGCCATAATTTTCTTTTTTTGACAAAACAAATGGTATCTTAGTCTATGTGCATGTGTCTATATGTTTCTCATTGGTTGGTTGTATGGTTGTTTGTCTATAAAACAAACAAAAGTCGTGGAGATTAGATCAATCTACTTTCAAAGTACAATACTTAATTTATTATATCAATGTATTTTTAAATTTTCCCATTTGTTGCATTAAAACAAAAATTAAAATGGTGTTGTCAAGTAAAGAATCATGGATGCAAAAAAAGTATTAGTATGACAAGATAGCTATGCTTTTATTATTATTCATATCATGTTAAAAAATAACTTTTTGTTTTTAAAAATAAAAAATGATTGTTTTTATGATCTCAAACATAGTTTCACACATTTGTAAACTATATTTTAAATACAGTGGTTTTTGGAATCCGACCATCTAAAGATAATTATTGGTCGTAAAAAAAACAATTTGCAGAGAAAAAATAATCGTCGTTCAGTCGAAATGATCAAACTCAACTAATCATTGCACACCAACATACTTTTAAACTAAACCTTACCCTAAACAAAACTTGTATCTTATTAATTTAATTGAACTTTTTAAATCTTTTATTTTGCAGTATCATTCTTAATTATCAATATTGTTTTTTCTTTTTAACTCGTGGTTTCCACGGGTTGTAACCTAGTGTTATAATACATGTAACAAATCAACGCTTCAAGTATTGAATCATCCTTGATACTATTATATTGATATTTGATTGTCTTTAGTGCTGACTAATTGACTAATAGAATGAGTTTATTACATAAAAAAGAAATCCGAACATACTTAATATAATCACTAATAGAAGGGGGCAACTGTCAAGTTATTGTACTTTATTATATGTTTTTGGACTTGAGTCATAATCGAGTGAAATAAAATTCAAGCAATCACAATCACATGTATCAGAAAAATCTATTTTACTGAAATAATCATAAAATATTAAATTATTATTTTAATAACATTACTTTTTATAATCACGTTTGATAAACCAAATCTTTTCCTAACTCAATTAACCAAATTGGGAAATTGAAGACGTATTTGATGACGTCAAGAGCTTGCTTTTCTTGTTGCCTACGAAGAATGACATGAGGCATGAGCGATCAAGTTTGACTGTTGAATGCGACCAACACCTATCGGATAATTAAAACCCAAGTTTTACTATAAATACCCTTCTCTCCACTCCCCTTGATTTCT